TATCTATCTATCTATCTATCTATCTATCTATCTATCTATCTATCTATCTATCTATCTCTATATATCTATATCTATCTATGTATCTATCCATCTTTCTCTATCTTTGTATCTATCTCTATCTATCTATATCTATCTATCTCTATCTATTTATATCTATCTATGTATCTATCTATCTTCATCTATCTATCTATCTATCCATCTATATCTATCTATCTATCTGTCTATCTCTATCTATCTATATCTATGTATCTATCTATCTTTATCTATATCTATCTATCTATCTATCTATCTCTATCTCTCTATATCTATTTATGTATCTATCTCTCTATCTATCTCACTATCTATATCTATCTATGTATCTATCCATCTTTCTCTATCTATCTATGCATTCCAAATAAAAACCAAACAAACTACGGATGCTGTAAATCAGGAACAAAAACAGAAGCTGCTGGAAAAGCTCAGCAGGTCTGGCAGCATCTGTGAAGAAAAAAGTCAGAGTTAACGTTTTGTGTCCAGTGACCCTTCCTCAGAAGGGTCCTTCCTATTCTGAGCTTTTCCAGCAACTTCTGTTTTTATCTATTGATCGATCTATCTATCTATCTATATCGATCTATCTACGTGCGTATCCTCTGTGTTATCTGTTTATCTTTCTATCTTTTGTATCTATTGATCCATCTATCCAGCTGACAGTTTGTTCAACCATTTCCAAGTAAAAGCTGTTTAAAATCCTTTATTCCCATGTTATATATTTTTACAGATTATGTTTGTTTATTTTGCCGATTTTGATCCTGGGTCTGATATGTATTTAATCCTTTTATTTTCCAGGTGAGATGCTGGGAAATGTTCTGCCTCAGTAAGAAGCGACTGAAGTGAGCCAGTCTCTGAACAGTGTTTCACTCTCCATTTGACCCTATGCTTTCATTTCAACTTCAAGAGAATCCTTAAAGAACTTCTGTCCTCAAAGACACAGACATGATTAAAATCTCTGGATACTTAATGCTGCAGTATATTTCTGTCCTTTAAATCAAGTTTAGGGACATCTCCCTATTGGGGACCTAGTGAACACGGGTATTTTATAAGTCTACCTTTCCCAATGTTCAGAACATTTTTAAGAAAAATTCATTCGGACAATGGTAAAGGCTAGGCCAGCACTTGTTGCCCAGAGGGCAGTTAAGAGTTAACCACATTGCTGTGGATCTGGAGTCATATATAGGCCACACCAGGTAAGGATGGCAGTTTCCTTCCCCTGAAGGATATTAGTGAACCAGATGGGTTTTTCCACAACAATGGTTTCATTGTCATCATTTGACTGTTAATTCCCAATTTTTATTGAGTCGAAATTTCACCATTGGCAGGATTTGAAGCCAGATCTCCTCAGAACAATACATGTGTCTCTGGATTAATGCTCTAGCACTGATACCACTTAGGCCAGCACACTTTCTTGCCCCACACTTGTCACTCCCATATCTTAGTGTCTACCTCTTCACCATCCTTAAATGTTACCTCCCAAACCACAAATATTTACAATTTCCCATTTGTTTCCTCCAGGTCTAACACTGAGTGCGAAATCATGATATGGGTGGCACGGGGTGACTCAGTGGTTAGCACTGCTGCCTCACAGCGCCAGGGACCCGGGTTCGATCCCACCCACAGGCGACTGTCTGTGTGGAGTTTGCACATTCTCCCCGTGTCTGCGTGGGTTTCCTCCGGGTGCTCCGGTTTCCTCCAACAAGCCAAAGATGTGTAGGTTAGGGTGGATTGGCCGTGCTAAACTACCCATAGTGCCCAGGGATGTGTAGGTTAGGGCGGATTGGCCGTGCTAAATTACCCATAGTGCCCAGGGATGTGCAGGTTAGGGTGTATTGGCCGTGCTAAATTACCCATAGTGCCCAGGGATGTGCAGGCTAGGGTGGATTGGCCGTGCTAAATTATCCATAGTGTCCAGGGATGTGCAGGCTAGGGTGGATTGGCCGTGCTAAATTACCCAT